AACGCTCAGGACTTTCTCGGGGGAATTTTCAATATCATGACCTGTACCAACGCGCTCGGGCTTGGTCAGAACTGGAAACGGGTACGCAGGGTAATCATCGCCGGCCAACTGGATCCTATGGACGTACTTCAGATGGCCGGTCGAGCTGGACGAGATGGACGACCTGCGGTGGCAATACTCCTGGTCAAACCTTTGTCTGAAGAGATTCAAAAAACCTTGGCAATGACTAATCCAATCAATCAAGACGATGATCAGCGCATGCATGCCATGGCCATCACCAATGTATGCTTGAGGGTATCTTTTTCAGTTCTCCTTCGGTGAGTAATCTAGATGATATCACTCTCACCAAAGCTGTCGCGCTAACTTAGTCAATCTCTAGCTTTGGTTATGTGCCTCTAACAAAAGATGACAATTCGGTCCGTTTGGAAACTCAACGGCAGAAAGATGTTGGAATGACGGATTGCATTTGCTCGAACTGTGATCCAAAGTCCGCCGATTACTTCCTTTCGAAGCAGCCCGTCTTAACCAACTCAAATTTCACCGAGTTGGTACTTCAAGATGTTCCGCCTGCCACTTATCCATCTCTCGGCGAACAGTTCATTGAATCCAATCAGCAAACCCCCTCACCACATACTATGATCAGACCCAGCCCAATTCAAGATCCTCGCCGAGCGGACCTTCGCATAATCAGATTATTCCTAACGATCGAAAGGGGTTTGAAGGACATCTTCAATACTGAATATCCTGAGGGTGGATTTTACAACTTTCACGATCTGTTTTCGCCCGAGAAGATATGGAGTGTATCTGTCAACTACGATCTATTCCTAGAAGGCTTGTCTCTAGATTTCATCTTTGGGAGTGAGCCCCTACCAAAGGCGTATTCCTTGATCACTCGAGTGATTAAGGAATGGCGAGCTAACAAGAGGGATTTCTTTGCAATCTTGAACCCATCTGAAGAAGAGTTAAACCTCTACAATCAGGCAAAAGCAAGAATCTCTGAACACCAGAAGGCATCTCAGCAGGCCAAAGAGTCACGCGCTGCAAAGGGCAAGCAGCCTTGTCAAGCTCAGGAACATTTAGTAAGTTTATTCATATTATCTTTCATTCTTTCTTGCATTGACAGTTCATTTATTGATTCCCACGAATATTGACATTATTTGCACATTAGGCCACCACCACCGCGAATGTTCACAAGCGCAAGCCACCAATGAAGGTTTCTCGAGCTGGAAAAAAATCCAAGGCCCAAGCGAACATACCCATTCACACATCTTCGGTACCAGCTTCCTCGTGAACTCCTCCTTTACCCCAACGATATCTCGATTTATTAGTTATTCGATCTTGAATAAAATTCTTTTGAAGTGTATCGGTGCCTGTCAACATTGTATCAACCAGCTTTTCTTTGGAGATGGCACATATGCCAGTTACATATTGATGCTTCCATGACCGGACGAAATTGGCAAGGGTATGATTGGTGATTTTATGAGTGTGGCTCCTATGGATTGGCTTGAGCCCACTGCGGATGTTTAGCTGCTGTACCAGCAGCCTTAGCTGTGTAGTTGTGTAAATAAATAAATAAATAAATGGTCAATGAAAAGAACATACATTGGAATTTGACACAGTAATAAAGGCTATTTAGAAGAAAACCCGCAGAGGTTGTGAGACATACCAAAGGAATATTGATGGACATCGCAATTAAGTGATCAATATCAGTGCCATTGCTCTACACCCAAAAAAGAAAGGCCAAAAAAAGACAGTCAGTTCATTAAATTTATAAAGTTAAAGTATGAATTTGGTTTTTCACTCACATTTAGGTTAAAAAAATGTTTCAGCCAATAATTTTGATGCTCTAACCAAAGATCATTCCCCACAAAATGTCCCTTCCGCTGAGCAGAAGGTATTAACAAGCTATGTAGAACCACTTTGGCCAATACCGGAGGCAAATCTTTTTCCACCAGGACAAGAAAACGTGTCAGATGCAGAGCGTAACGAGGGAGTCCCTTTAGTCCATGAGCCATCAATGCCCATTTCTTCCAAATCAGCTTGAGCCTCCCCACATCCCCTGTACTAGTGGCACTATCTGCTTCCACAACTGTTGCAAAATCTCGGATTTGAAGTCTTAAGTTATAACCTTTTCTGTCATTTTTTTGTTCAAATTTTTTCAAGGATTCAGGGCTGCAAAATTCCTCATAACATTTGTCAATGACATCCTGGGCAACACCTTTCTCTGAAAGATTAGGGCTGGTTTCATATTTTGACATTGTGTTCCTGTGTGAGAAAAAGAAAGGTCAATGTGGGACACTCATAATGTTCATATTTTTAATTACGTACCTCAAGCAGGATACCAACGTAGCCATATGAACACAGTGTACCGCTCTCAAAACCGTGCCAAAATCCATGTTTGAAGGAGGTTTGTTCAGTGAACCACCAACGGATTGCCATGCTTTCCAAGCACCAGTGTCGTTATCATTTCTACTATCACCCCAATGGTGACCCAAGATACCTTGAGCCATGTTCCATGTGATATGCACAACACCTGGAATAGTCAGCACACTTGACAAGCCTCCTGCCACCGTCCCCGCTGGAGCCCTTTTCTTACGCAGACTTTCAATGTTTTGACACGTTCCTAGGTCACCCTCAAAGATTTGAAGTGATTTTGCCATTTCTTCACGTGTTAGGCCAAACTGTTCCGCTAGCTCTTCAAAAACTTGCCCGACTCCATTTGCTGAGTTATCGGCGGCGTCCATCAAGCTCAAGAGGAATAGATTACGATTGTCAGGAGGTATTAAGTCCACCGCTGGGGGAGATGTTGACAGGCGAGTGGATGGGCCTTTCCCAGTTTCAATTATGTATTTGTACATAGCAGTAGCAAGCTGACTTTTCAAAGTCAGCTTCCATTGGATGAGATCATTTGATTTTGCACGGAAAATATCAAACTGAACCGGAGTTTTTTGAGCTGCTGCAATGGCCTGGTGGTAATTTTGAAGGTGATCATTTGCACTTGAATTGCATACATCATTTTTCAGATACTCGGGTAGGAACTGAATATACCCCCAAGTTCTGTGGAATAGCCGAGACGTCGCCTCCACTCGAGTGTGGTGGACCCTTTGAAGGATATCAAAATTGTCCATGCACACAATCGGACTAATACTGTAACTTTTGGACATTATTGCTCGGAGAGATGCCTCTCTGGTAGTGCGTAGATGTTTCATGGCGAGTAAGGCAGTTTGGCGACAGCTCGATAGACCGATCGTGTTCAGGTATTTAAAGACCCTGCTAGAGACCCCGCATGCCAAGAAGGTTAACGCGTTATGTAACTGTAGAGCGTTATCACGGTAATTCGAAAGAAACGAGACCATCCCACATATGGTCGTCGCCACCTGTGGATAATACCCAAACAGTAAGAACTACGGATGAGGATCACATCCAATAAAATGACCTACCTCGGTGGCCCGATTCCTTTGGGCCTCTGCTTTGTCTTCAGGAATATACACTATTCCGTCATCGTGTCGAGCTTCTTCCTCGTCGCAAGTCTCGTCCATAGGATTGATTGTTTCCGCATTCGCTTGGTTTTTTTTCGTGATCGCATCTTTGTCATCGAGTGTGACATCATCGTGTGTCGCGCCCGTCATCAGTTCTTCGCGGTTGTTTGCCCTGGCGGATAGTTGGTGATACAGAAGATTCCACAGGAAAGGCATCGAGTTCTTGATGGACTCGTTGCGTTTCTCTAGCTCCTCGAGCTTGAAAAAATTTGTCGTAATTTTTTGAGAGCTGTAAAACTTTCTTGGTTTTGACCAGACTTCTTTCTTGATTTGCTCCTGCGCCTGCAATGATCCAAAAATCATTGTCAATCAGATGATATATAACATGAAAAGATAGATATTGACCTCATTCAAGATAAACGAGGACCAAGCAGCCTCCCCAAATTCACTATTGTGCAATAGTTTCTTAATCGCGTACAAAATTTGCAATGTTGAAGGAAAACCTCGCTCACTTCCCCAGTATCGTCGAGATTCTTTCAGGGATGGGTTATCCGAAGTCAGGAGAGAATTGAACACCTCCTTTGGTGTAACATTCTCTGCCTTCAATGCGGCACATAATTGCACGGCAAGGCCATCGATAAACGGGCGCGTTCGGATTGTGTTATGCTGGGTATGCTGAGCTTCCATGATTCTTCTTACGCGGTTTTTTTGGGAGGTTTGTTTGCCTTTCAAGGTTCTTTGTTTCAAAGCACCACACCATCTTTTCTCTATTACTTTTCTCAAATCTTTTGGTGTTTCAACATCTGTACCTTCTTTTCGCATTTTGTGGTTGGACGGAAACTTAACCTGGAGGTCCTTTACGGTTTTTACCGGGGCAAAACCTCCGTGGATTTTTGGCATGAATTTGGTAGTTTGTGACCAAATGACTTTTCCAGCCTTTTCGGCTGAAACAGGCGGTTACACAATCCAGCAATCTGGAAACTTGATTTGCATCGCTTACTTCCAGCGAATATTCATAAGACTGGTACGAGGTTGTGTAGCATTGCTAGGAGAATCACATACTCGAAGGACACGAAATCCTCCGGTGAGGATTCGAGGAGAACTCCAGAAAAGTACATAAGAGTACTTAATTTCTGGAGCTCACACGCCAAAAAACGCGAGTCAGTTTTAAGCCCCTCTCTCGACTACTCGCTCGTCCGAGAGGGGCTTAGTTAAGCTTACCGAACTCACCTTGATCACCTGACCGGGTAGCGTGATTCTTGGACGGTTGATGGAGCAGGGCCGGGTACAAAATTTCACAATCCACGCCAAAATATCCTGAGCTGATGGTCATCCATGACCAAATCCCACGAAGACTTCTACATACACACTCAATATATACTTTCCTAGCGTTCTACATTGGTTGAAACGGACAACCAAATGAAAAACTTTTGTAGGTAACGAGAATAATGAAAGTAAGGACCTTCAAAACTTTTGAGGTCGCGTTGTTATCTTTTGCCTGACACCTTGTATCTTCCTGCTCAGGTATTGTGTGTGGCGGAGAAACCCTCGATAGCTCGAGCAATCACAGAGATATTGTCTAGCAATCAATTTCAAACCGTGAGAACGATTTGGTCACCACCTCACCCGTCCGAACTTGTCCCGCACGCTTTACTAGGAAGATGCCCAAGTGAAGCACTTGAACTGACATTTGGGAAACTGCAACACATTCTTCTTTTGCTTGGGTCATCAAAAGCGACAATCGCCAAATAAATATGTCAAAAACTTTGACTTCACTTATCGTCTTCCTCCTTCGACTCAGCAAATCAGCTTTACCGTCACTTCGGTCTTGGGCCATTTAACTCAGTCTGACTTCGATGCACATCACAAGAAATGGTCAAATTGTGACCCTTTCGCCTTGTTCGACGCGCCAATCGAGCGTTTTGTCACCCCTGTGCGTGAAATGGATTACGCGCCTTCCCTTGTCCTCATGATCTGACCATCTCGAATTCAGGAGCATAAAGGTATCGAACGTAATCTGCAGGCCGAAGCTCGAGGATCCGATCGATTGATGATATGGACAGATTGTGATAGAGAAGGCGAACACATCGGTTCTGAGATCAAGTCCGTATGTCTGAAGGCCAACCGGAACCTTACTGTCTCTCGGGCTCGCTTCAGTGCGATCATCCCTGCGTGCGTATCAAGTTTCCCCTTCGCGATACTTCACTGTCAATTGAAACATGATGCTGTACTTGAAATTAGGCAAATTCATAACGCTTGTAGGACTGCTGGCGAACTGGACATGAAACAAGCCAATGCTGTGGAAACCAGAATGGAACTGGACCTTCGAATTGGTGCTGCCTTGACAAGGCAACAGACGCTTGGCCTCCAACCCCGTTTTCCACAGATCGAGACTGTCATCAGCTATGGTATGTTCTATGTTATCCTTCGAATCATTTGCATCTTTTTGGTTAACATTTATCTCCATAGGCCCTTGTCAGTTTCCTACTCTAGGATTCGTTGTCGATCAATATGACAAGGTCGCAGCATTTGTACCTGAAACTTTTTGGTATATCCATGTGACCTTGGAGCGCGAAAATGTTTCCGTCGAATTCAAGTGGAAGCGGAACCGGCTGTTTGATCACCATACTGCCTTTGCACTCTATGAGATGTGCGCTGACGAGCCCGAAGCTACCATTCAAAATGTAGCGGTCAAGCCTGCCACCAAATGGTGGGTTAATTGCGCCGGCGTCTACCGTTGTGCTCGTCAAGAACCTCGAAGCTCTCATGCTCATCATGGGAGTTGTGCAAGCTGACAACTCACTCTTGGTCCTGATTTAGGAAACCGCTACCGCTGACAACGGTCGAACTTCAAAAAACAGGTTCACGGTTGTTACACCTGACACCAAAGACAATTTTGGATGTAAGATCTATACGTAAATCTGACCTTTACTTTCTTGGTGACCTGGTCCCTATCTATGCAATCCACTTCCCTTTTTACAGATCGCCGAAAAACTGTATATCAGAGGTCTAGTCAGCTATCCAAGGACTGAGACCGATCAATTTGATCCCGCATTTGATCATCAGGCTTTGATTGAAAAACAAATTAATGACGCTTCATGGGGTGGGTTCGCATCCAGGTGAGCGATTTCTGCCTGTCATCCTGAGCTAAGCAATAGCTGATGCCACACTTGAATCCTATCAGACTAAAAAATGAAGGTGCTTTTCAGCTGCCACGAAACGGGAAGAAGAACGACAAAGCACATCCACCCATTCACCCTACTGCACACGCAAATGATTTGGCAAGTGATGAAAAACGGGTGTACGAGCTCATCACGAGGCGTTACCTCGCATGTTGTTCCAAAAATGCTATCGGCAAGACTACCACTATCGACGTACTAATTGCAGAAGAAGAGTTCACCGCGACCGGTGCGTTCACCATGTTAAATACTCTAGCTGCTGGACGCAATGAAGTAGTCGAGGGCATCCAATGATGGGCATTGACTCACCAGCCTTACGTTCGGACTGCAGGTCTCGTCATTCTTGAGCGAAATTATTTGGAAGTATATATCTATGATAAATGGAGTGGAAATACCTTGCCTGATTTTCAAGTGGGTGAAAAATTCCTGCCTAGTGTTTGTGAATTGAATGAAGGCACTACGACTCGTCCCAACCTATTGACTGAGGCCGATCTTGTCGGGCTGATGGACAAAAATGGAATTGGTATAGCTTCCGGACTTGTTCTTTTTCTCAGAAGCTTATTGCTCATGTATATCACGATCTATTAGGTACCGATGCGACCATTGCTGAACATATTGCTAGAATAATCGATCGTAGTTATGTCTTCAAGTCTAGAGAAGGCAATGTGCAATATTTGCTTCCATCTACTCTAGGCATTGGGCTGGTGGAAGGATACAATGCGATCGGATTAGACAAGTCGTTGAGTAAACCGCAGTTGAGGCGTGAGGTCAGCAAAGCTTTTGTCCGTTTGTTTTCTTAAGCTTTCAAACTGATTATGTTATAATTCATACAGACCGAACATCGCATGTCACAGATTTGCGAGGGATCTAAATCCAAACATGAAGTCTTGCATCAGACCATTGAGGAGTATCGCGAAGTTTTTATGCGATCGAAACTTGCATTTAATCTTATAGCGGCGACGGTAGGAAAATATATGAATCCACCCGACGATGCGGACGGGGATGATCACGATGATCATGATGGAAATGATGGAAATGAGGGAGGTGGTCGCGGTGGTCGCCGCGGCCGCGGGGCTGATAATAATCGACGGGGAAATCGGAGAGGCGGGGGGGCAGGTCGGGGAGGTGCAGCCGCCGCAGGTAATAGAAGTACTGACGACGACAGTGAAGGTGACGGCCGACCTGGGGGTGGTCGCGGTAATGGTCGCGGCGGTACTGGAACGCGTGGTTCTAGGGCAACAACGCGAAAGACCACCACAGCTCGAGCTTCCAAAGCCAACACGGGAAAAGGTCGCGCTGATACGGAAGAACAGGGTGATAGCATGGCTCGATGGACCTCTCAAAAACCATGTCCTCCATATACTAAGTATCGTATCCTTGCAATTCATGTTTTCAGCCGAGCATGAGAAACCCAGTTGCCGATGTGGAGAGGAAGTCGTTGAACGCACCGTCTCCAAGGAAGGGCCCAATAAGTCAGTTTTCCCACTGTTCACATGCCACGAGTCCAGCGCTCATCAAAAAATGCATCTTCTTCAGAGGTCGCAAATTCTATGCGTGTCCTAAACCACCGAACGAGAACAGTTGTGGCTTTCAAGGCTGGTCGGATGAAGCAGCTGCTCAGAATCGCCCGAGTGGCTCCACTGTCAAAGCCCAGACGGGTCAAGGTCGTGCTTTTGCGGAAGAACAAGGTGATAGCATAGCTCAATTGACCTCCCATATGACGTAACCTTCATTCACTAAGTCGGCCCATAATTACAATTGATATCTTCAGTCGGTCAGGATAAACCCACTTGCCGATGTGGAGGGGAAGTCGTTGAGCGAACAGTCTCCAAAGAAGGACCCAATAAGTATGTTGTCTCACAATATCGGAAATATTGATCATGCGCTGACAATGAAACTCGATTTCTTCAGAGGTCGTAAGTTCTATGCATGTCCCAAACCTCAGAACGAGAACAGCTGTGGTTTTCAGGGCTGGGCAGATGAAGTAGGTATTCAAAGTAATTCCAGTGGCCAGAATGGACTGCTCGGTAAGCGGCCACCCACTGGATCCGTGAGTGTAAGTTTGAGTCAATCGGTGAAACAGTATGGTCTTTACATTTACCTACGCTCGCCCGTATGACTGTCATGAATTTAGGAGCGCTCCTCCAGCCGGCCTCGGATGACACCTTCATCTAATGCTCGGGAAGAAATCCGGTGTGAATGTAATCTGGAAGCCAACCGAAAGACCGTAGGAAAAGATGGTGAGGATCCCTTGAATCGTGTCCCTCATGTAACAGCTTCTTACCCTCGAGGATGAGGAAGGGGGATCATCCAGATGGCCAATTTAAATGTATTCTCTATCGCACGATGATCAGGTCCAAACAAAGGACGTGTGTTTTGGTGTTGCAGTAAGGTAGCAAAGGCTGCTCAATGCAAATTCTTCAAGTGGGAGGACGAAATGGGTCATGATTCTGCCCCAGTCGCTGGTCCTTCTAGAACAAACAGAACAGGAAGCGACCAAGTCTGTTTCAAATGTGGAGAGTCGGGGCACTGGAGTAGTAAGTCGGATGACATTCAATTGCCATGCCTCGTAGCTCAATACGGCTCCTATCTATTGTCTATCCATATCAGGTGCATGTACAAATCCATCAGGTCAACAAAGGTCGAACGTACAGAATTCAAATTACACTTGCTTCAGCTGCAATCAGCCTGGTCATCTTTCAACAAGCTGTCCACAAAGAAACAGCGGTAGTGCTCAGGAATCACGCGGGGCGAACGGAGGCGGTGAATGTTATCAATGTGGTCAAACCGGTTCGTATTTTTAGAAGCTATGTGCAAAATACAACTTTTCTCAAACCGAGGTCATGTGTGAATAGGCCATTGGTCAAGTGCTTGTCCGCAAGGCAACAGTACTTCGACACGCGGAGCTCCTCGTGGTGCAAGCAGGGGAGTTGGCAAACGAGGGCGCGCACGAGGGCGAGGGAGTGGTCGAAGTCGGGGAACCGGCAAGTCGAGGAAGGGTAGTAATTTTGATACTGTGGACGAATATGGTTGATATCCAGTATGGTTAGTTTACTTTCATACAATGCCTAGGTGATTGATTTGTTTGTCGTAACGAGCTTGTTCTACAAAATTTGTCTTTCTTGATTTTCAATTTGTCTGGGTACTTTTGAAGACCAGTTGTTTGTAAAATTCGTGATGTATACATTCTTAGGGGAACTGATCACACTCTCCACCCTAGCTTTTGTCTGAGGTAATTGGCCGATTGCCTTGTGAACTGGTATGACACAGCTGGGAGTCCTTTGCCCTTACGATCTTTAATTCAGCGGAAATAAATGACAGCCACAAGATTGACTCCTAGTGATGATCAGAACGTACCTTCTGTCACTGTTACAATTGTTGGCTACATCAGGGCCTAGCATATATTGACACATTTTTCCGTTGTTGTGAAGGATACACTACAAAAACAGATTTTCCGCTGGGATTTTTGACTTCCTTTGAGGACAAACTCGTGGACATCACCCTGCCTCGATCGAGGTGACGATGTTACTTATCGAGTGTTCAGATGAGATGCCGTTTGTCTGGTAACGTCACCTGGAATTCAGCCGAATCACACGGTGAAGATCGGGCGTGACTTCTTATCATAACCGGGTGATCGAGATCATACTTGTCTGACTTTCAGACGACGCTGCGGCGTCGTAACTGCGCTGAGCAATTGTATGTGCATATCAAACATGTCGGATTGGGTGCTTTAAATCTGTCCCAGGCTTGCGGTCAACATGTGCATATTTTACATCTTTTTCTTCGTTTTTCACAGCTATCTGTGATGACCATGCTCAGCTCGTGGTCTCCCTTTCGTGGATCCATGCACCCAGGAGAGGTATATGGTCCCAGCACGGTAAACAAACATACTTTTGCGCCAATGAATAGGTCGAGTGAAACGCGAGCTGGACGTACACGTGCTACCTTATGGGGGATTGTAAAATTGTCAACTCCGCCTTCAGATCCAATACCACACTGTGATTTTTTTCGAGATAGCAAATTGGTCATGGAGAGCACTTCGCACATAGGAATCAAAGCATTATCTGAGAAAGTTTTGGTATTACTATCTACACTGACCTCATACCCAGAGTCTTGGCATAATTGGCTTGAACGGAATGATCAAATAGTGATCGAATGTCTAGACCTAGCTCAACAGGCTTTGGGCACCGAAATCGATTGGGAGATAGACAGACTTTGGGCCGTAGGGATCGTAGCAGCACTCACAACTAATGTACCCTCCTACTCAGACCGGCTGAGGGAAAGACTGAGCTCACTGTCTTGGACCAATCAAGTGACTGTCGAGATAGAGATGACCAAAGGTGTGTCACATTTCCATATCTGACAACAGCGCGATGTAGATTGAAAGATGAGCTCCACGTTCCGTTTGCGATTGTAGACTTCGAGGCGGCTACGACATACAGATACAAATGCTTGAGGCATAGAGGCAAGGACCACGAACCCGCAACACAATATGATGGTATGCGATTTACGGCTTGTGCGTGTGCGAGTTCAGTATGTGCACCTCTGACATGAAAACGCTACGGCCTGCTACGGCCCACAGGTGCAAAGGAGTGTCTGGAAAGGGCTGCGCTGTTTGCTCATTATGATGCCATCAGGGTAAAAAGACTACCTACAAGGGAGAGCAAAGTTTATGGGATTATCTCACAATATCTTCTGAGAAGCACTCTTCCTGAGGAGGAAGAGCAGGTCGAGAAGATTGTGGGGGAATTTCGAATCATGTTTCAAGAAATCCACCTTGGAGTTTGGGAGGGAAATTATACCACTGCAATCTTTCACCACCTATTAAGAAATTCATCCAAGACTCGGGAGAAATTGAGCAAAGTTTTAGAAAAGCAAGATGACTTTCGAGACTTTCACTTACCCTATGCAAAGCGGGACATAAATGAGCTTGTTTACAAGGACTCTAAGCACCTGTTCAACAAACCTTTGAAAGAAGACTTAACGGATCACAGAAGACCACCAAACATTGGGACTACACAATTTCTGCTAGAAAATTGTAAGAGGGCGCTATCAAACTTGATGTTTGACAAAGCAGCAGCTTTCTTGAAGCCCTTGATTTTACAAACTTTGATTCATCCGTGTTTGGAATTCGATGTGATGGAGTTCATGAACAGCATAAATGATGTTACACAAGCCGCTCAGGTTTGGTCAAAGTTATTTCCGAACTTGGTTCCAAAAGAAATCGGATTTGGGGAGTATCAATGGATTTTTGCACAAAAAAGTAGGTGACATCCTCAAACTTATGCTGGCTTATGTATGAACAGCTCAAATACCTTACTGGAATAAATATTCCAAGGATTTGGCAGAATCATTAGGTTCAATTGCCAAACCAAACGAGATTCTGATAGCCTTCTGTGGTCCAATTTACAGATCACACTCATCTACAAGCGGCTGGGAGGCAGATGTTAGCAATGAACATGGATAGCTCAAGTTCCAAGTCAATCAAAAAACTTGGAATCTTTCTAAAGGATGTTTCATGTGTACAAAGCCCAGTTCAAGATGAACAACTGGAAGAACAATTTGATCAAGTGGCCCAATTACTGAGGACCAATGATGATGAAAATATAGAGGTGTTTGTAATCAGTATAGAATTCATCATGCGGCTGATAGAGCATTTTGAGAGAGGGGCATTGGTATTCCTAGACCAGATGAATAAAAACGTAAGGTTTAGAAAAACAATTAAAGCTTGCACAACTCACATAAATAGTGTTGATATCAAATCCTGGTATCAAGAAAATAAGGCTTTTTGTTTAGTACACTCTAACTTTGAGAGATTCTCCCATAAAATTCTCCTGGTGAGTAACCATGATTCTCTTCCTGTTTCAACCAATGCCGATGATGTTGACAATTTGAATACTTAGATTCATGATAAACTTTGGGTGGATAAACCAAATACCATACATACAGACCTCACAATACAAGAGCAAGTGGGGTTCTTGAAAGATGATCCAATTCAACTGACACTTGTCATTGAGGGACATCACCTGGATTTTTCTCCAAAATTCCTGAATTCTGAACCTCTTCTTTCCCAAACAATTTAGACAGTATTTTTTATCTGTGGCATTGAATCAAGTGTTTTCTGGCTACCAAGATGAACCCATTCATACTCATATTTCTATTTCTATTTGGATCATCCTGTAATGGTTTGATAGGCTTGTGAGGGATCGGAAAAACAGGGTGTTCTTGAGGTAATCACAAGATTGCAACATGAGGAAACAGAAGGCCAAAATTTTCCTTCTATTCACACTAGAGTACACAAAGTAGATTACACAGTATAAACATGTACTTAGTATTTGAATTCATACACCACTCCTCCCTTTATGACTCAGCCCCATCTTGACAGGCCAGCTATTTTTCCACAGGTTAGCATTAAAACCCAGTGGCAAACAGCTTCACACTTTCTCTCATATTGTTCTTGTCTTAAAATAGTCTTTTTCATGATTGGGATATTTTTCATCAAACTCTCATACTAAATCTTGAGCATTCATTGAATTCTTTTCTGGCTCCCATGAATCCCAATTTGATGTGTATCCTTTCCAATTTACCAAGTATCCAATTCTTCTTCTGATATTTCTTTTGGTTGATATTCCAATTACTCCATATTATTCTTAATCTTGAATTTTGACTGTACAGGTGGTTCGTCATCCCCTTGTAAATTCTCTCAAAAGGTTGACATTGAAAAACAGATGTACTTCCTGCATTTCTTCTGGCAAAATCAATTTATATGCATTAATACTGATCTTTTTCTCTAATGTGTATGGACCACACCATCTATGAGAGAACTTAGCAGTAGGTCTTGTCATTGAGATGTGCTGGCTGCTCAACCAGACAAAGTCATGTTTTTCCATTGCAGAGCACTCAACACCTTCTTGTCAAATTGTTATTTCATTTCATCTTGTTCATTGCTTCAAGTAATCCATCATGAACTTTGTTGATTTGCTTGATTAATTCATCCAAAGATGGTGGCTTCTGTTCTAAGTTCCAAGTGCCTGTGAAGCTCAGATTGTGTCCATAATATGCTCTAAAAGGTGACATGCCAATTGAAATATGTAAGTTGTTTATATACAAGAATTCTGCTAGTGGTAATAAATTCTTCCTGAGCATTGTTCAAATTCTATCTTCCTGTCAGAATTTTTAACCACCAAACCATGTGTCATTGCTGCTGCAACCTCCTTGGCAGATGATTTCAGCACATTATATTTTCACTCTAGCACTCAATTGGATCTTATACAATTGTTAACAATGCCATTAAAGCAAATTCATTATTGTGGATACAGTTATGTTGTTGAGGAATTCAGATGTTGCAAAGGGCCTTTGTAACAGTACTATACTTTAAATTCAAACACACATTTTGCAATGCCAAGTTATAACTGGTCCAAGAAGCGGCAAGTTGGTTGCCATTCCGTAGATAAAAGTGAACCATGACGGTAAAGACCCCACCGTTCAAAGTTTCTTGATATCAGTTTCCAACGGCTCATGCTTTTTGTTTGACAATCAATAAAACATAAGGTCAAAGTCTTGAAAAGGTTGAAGTACAGTTGCCTACGCCAGTATTTACACATGGGCAACTTTATGTGGCTGTCGAGGAACAGCAATGGGCTGGGCTCAAGAGATTGAAAATACAAAACCAATAATATTTTGACCACCAAGCTTGGGCCCCTAGCTCAACAAAACATTTGTGACAAGGTTTTTTGAAACGACTGTATCTGGACTTTGGGGATCTAATCAGGCTGAAAAGTGCTGATAATTGGTAAGTGCCTCCTCCGCAGGCTCCAGAGGACACCTGCCAAATAAGAAGGGACCTGTTGTTAGGCTTTTCGCGTATCTCCTCGACAAGTGTGATATAACGGCACTCGAGCCCAGTCTGATTAGTAAGCAAGATTCTTGAAGTTCCACTAAGCTTCGCAAAGATTTTTTTATATCACACGTTCCCCGAATTTTGATATCCGGAAATGCTATTCTCATGTGAGCGATTAGGTCATCGATGTTCCTTCATTCGGGGTTGAAGGGGCCATGAAGGGTTGACCGGTCATTCGAAGTTCAAGGGAAATCTATCTCTTCGATGTTATTTTCAGCTTATCTGACATATCTTCATTCTGAAATCGGACTTGGTCAGGATGACTTGTTACTTCATGAACACATCAAATGAATCTCATGCGATGAGTACGCAGAGCTAGTGATAACACTTGGTGCCGCCGATCCCACTTTGCCACATCGATCCCTATATCAATCACGCAGAACCATAAGTCTATCACTCAGCTTGGCTATGACTTCTTTCCATAGAAATCCCTACGCGTGAGACCTAAACCCATCAGCTGCACGCAGTCAACACCAGTTGTCTTGATTGATCAAATCAGGTTCGATCATGTATGAGCGGTTGCACATCTCAGGGCAAGAGATATCTTTGCTTCATCGGCGCTACACATTTCACTCCCCTTAACTTTCTTCATCCCGAATTGACTCAAAGACGCAGCCAGAGGATCTATGGATTCAATGAAACTTTGGTATCTTCAAACCCCACAGCGCAAACCGTTCTTCTATTTTTTCCGCAATCAAACTTCAGCTCAGTGGTAATCGTTACCAGGTTAGCTTATAAGAACTTTGACCGATGACTCATCTCGGATCGAAGTCTAATCTTCTCACCACCTTTCTTATTCCTACTCAGTTACATTCTTCGAGATGATCCGACGCTCCAATCGGTTTTCTCAATTAATGTCAGGTGTAACATTCTTCTCACTTGGTCTTTCTATAGGATATCTATATAACCTTCAAAACCTCTATACATCTCCTCCAAGAGAAAACGTTTGTTTTCCTACTTCCAATACACCTATTTATAAAGGCTTAAATCTAATCTTACCATCGGTTCGTAATCTTGATGATTTAAATCATCAAAAGCAAGTCCTTTCAAATAATTTCTTAGGCAAACAAACCGAAAGATTCAAAACTTCTTGTGATCCATTGGATGATCCAGAAGATGATTTAATTAAATTTTATGGTAGAGATGTGATTATGATGGGAAGAGGTTATGAAGGAAGTGGAACCAGAACCCGAAGGTTTTTGAAATCTTTACAAGATGGAAAGACTGTCAAGGTAGGAGTGGTAGGTGGGAGTGGTAAGTTTGATTTGCCTATCCTCTTTCTTCATCAATTTCGTTCTTTTCAATCACTGAGTTTGTCTCTTTTTGGATTTTCTGCCAATAGTGTCGTTTGGCCATGGGATGTATAAGCATGGACCTGGGACAATATATTCTGAGCGTGTTCTAGACTGGATCAAAGCTACTTATCCCAACAACCCAAGTTCCAATCATGAGTTATTCAATGGAGCTGTACCAGGAAGCAGTGTTGTCAGTTGATCATTCGCGTCATCTGAGCAGTTCCTCACATTGACAAGATCATCTCCTTCATCACGATCAATAAAAGACATACTTCAGGTTCTGCTATCAGGAGCATATACCACTTGACCTTGACCTAATCATGGTAGAGTTTGATCTAAATAGTTGGCAGTTGAGTACTTGACCAAAATTATTCTCTTCCATCAAATTTTCAGGCTCATAAAGATTGATTTTCTTTAGTGATGATGATAACATCCTAGCACTCGATTCGCTGTACAGGTCACTAATGTCACTACCTAATCAACCAGCGATCTTTTATGTATCAGTGAATGCATTAAAGAATGGAGATATCGCTACTGGTTTTCCTACCACCCTTCCAGTTTCCCAATACTTTGATATTCCAGTCTTTAGTGTAAGAAATATGATCTTACCTTTACTAATGAAAGATCCAAGTCAGAAATCGATTTTAGGACTCTTTGGAAACCGATCAGAACCAGAAACGGAAGTAGATACCGTAAGTTTAGGTTGATCCTTTCTTCAAAATCAAGCCAAAAGAAAACATCTCAAAAAAAAATCATCTTTCACAGTTGCACATGAATTATAACGGTCACAAAGCAGTAGCAGATCTGATGATTTTGTATTTGAGAAAACAAACCTGTGAACTAAATCGTCGAGAACAATCACCACACACGTGGCAACATCCTAACAATGATCTATGGCCAGGTCCAGATTCTCTAGGTCAAGTACCCAGAGTAAGTAATCCACCGTAAGATGTCCAATCAAACATATCGAAATCTCACTAATTATCTTTTTCTGTTTTTCAGTTACGATTATTAGATCAATGGTCAACTGAACCATATCCAATCATCTCTCAACCAACTTGTTCAACCGTCCAATCCTCAACTCATCCCTTAAAACCCATCCGAATGACCGGAGGATTTCAACATGTGATCATCAATGATAAAAAGTTTTTTGCAACTGATCAAATTGATAGTCGAATCAAATTTAAAATTAAATTGATTGAAGGTCAAGTAGGAATCTTACATTGGGTTACACAAGATAAATCGTTTGGTGCAATGATTTGTAGTATAGATGGAGCTTGGTCTAATGATCAAAAATGGATTGATGGTTATTCTGATCATGGTATGCCTTACTTAGCGTAAGTCAACTTGTTTTACATATCCACCACTCCCATCTATAGTTATCAAACAATAGCAAAGATTGATGACCGTTTTTTTTTCTTCTGATGATGATCATTTTTAGATATTCTGGAATACTTTGGAAAAACCTTTCTCCTGGGTTTCATACTCTAGAATGTAAATCAACAAGAAATGAAAAGTTTGGAGGAGAAAAATTTAGATTAGTTGGATTAACTTATTCTTAAGAAGTATACATATATATACTAGATGAATTCATTAAGACAAACACAAGAAATCATAGATTTCTTTCTTTCTTGTTCAAAAACTAAACCAACAAACCAAATGAATTTAGAGAAAAAATCATCTTTCTTCAAGTTATTTTTTTTATCAAAATTCAAGAAAGTGATAAGTTTTTCTCTACACTTAACCTTTCATCTTGATGTGTAGATAGAAAGGATATACACACATATTCTCAGATCTTGCATGGAAATTCAAATACACCCAAAGTCACCAAGAAAAAAAAACAATCCTTAATTCAAATTCAAAAATGTTGCACCACCTGACAGTGACACCAACATGATCCTTGATATCATCTTTATAGGGTAGGGCTAAATATTTTAACAAAATTCATCACTGTCTGAAACTTATCTTGACCATCTTTCCCTGAGGAATAAATTGTTCTAAATAATCCTAGTACTTGCTCACATCTAATTAAAGTGTACATATTCTTGGATCACATTCTTCAAGTAAGTTCCAGTGGTAGTATGACTTCCATAAACAAGCTTATCCCAGCTCAGTCAAATTTACCCATAAAAATCTCCTCTGAAGTTACCCAAGTTTGATCTTTTCAAAATGAACTTGTCAAGAAGTGTAGTTTTGACTTGTCAACAAATATCCAATTTGCCTCATTACACTGAATAAACCATTTCAAAAAACTATAATTGTTTTTAATAATAAAACCCAACCATGAATTCCAAAAAAATTAAAAAAATCTTATAAAATCTTAAAGAGAAAAGTCAATGAATGAAGTTAACCAGTTTAGAAAAAAACCCTTATCAAAATAAAAAAGCTCACAACAACCAAAAAAAAAGAAAAAAAAATCAATTCAGAAATTAGATATAAAAATAGAGAAAGAGAGATAAAGTTGGTAAACAAAACAGATCAGATAAAAGGAGAAAAGAAAGATTGTAAAGATAAATTTCTCAAGTTTTCTCCAATTCAACCTACTACTCCATATATATATATATATATCAAAAACCAAAAACCAAAAACCAAAAGCTAAAGAGACGGAAGACCATATAATTAATAATAATAAATTAATAAAAAGAAAGATCAAATCAAATCAAATCTGTTCTGTTCTTTTCCAATTGAGAGAGAAAAAAAATCAATAAAAGATATTAAAGAAACAAACGATAACGTGTAAAAAGGATGGGAAAAAAGAAGGGTATAAATCAAGATTCTCCAAAAAGAGCACCACATTGAGAATCACGATTAATAAAAAAAGCAAGTCTTTCAAAGACGATGACCAGGTACACTGATGAAAATCGAACCCAAGACCACCACACCTAAAACACTCAAAATCGTCACCCAAATGGCTCTTCCTGAAAACCATCCCAAAAAAAAACAAGTAAAAAAAACCTAAAGTCAGAAAAAGAACCAACAACCCAAATGAAAAGCAAGAAATGAGTAAGAAAAACACAAACCTCTTAAAATCTTTTGAACATATTTCTCTTTAACACTAAGTGTTCTAAAAGGCGTCGTTTCCGACCGATTAAACAAAATCAAAATCGGATCTAAATCATAAAAATGTGAAACAATTCCCAGGATAGCAATCATAAAAGGAATCAAAATCTGATCAAACAAAAAAACCAAAAACCAAACCAGAAAGTCAATTTCAAGCAAAAAGCCAATCAAAGAAAGCCAAGAATGAATTAAAAAACGTACCCAGAATCGTTTAGATCTAGGTTGAGCGTCTAAGAAGATCATCGAAAACGCAATCGAAAGTCCGATCCAAAGGGTAAGTAAACCGACCGATAATCTAACCAAAGCACTTAAAGGAGTAAATTCCAAAAGCTTTTGATCTTAAAAACCTAGGAAATGTATCTTGTTCCATACTAAAGCAAACCAACGAAATATAAACACGAAAAAAAATACACGACATCAACTTTAATTCGAAAGGAATCGAAAAAAAAGAAAATCCTAATGACCAACCTTCTATAGATATATTCTTTTTGACTAACGAATAAATCGGGTATATTAGCCAAAAAATCCGATTCGAATTCATAATCTTCACTACCTGCATGAGGTAAGGTATTACTATTGATAGGAAAATCCAAGATCCTTAGAGCAGAAGGTAAATAGATTTCTTTTTCGGCTCCTGATAAAAGATAACGATAATAAATTCGTTCTGCAGAAGCGATTAGATCTGTACGAGTGATTGCAGAAGATCGAGCTAGAGATAGATGCATAGAGAAGAGTTAGGTTTGGAAAGATGGGATGGATGATGAGTGAGAACTTACGAATGACGGGTTGGGTTGGGTTCTTGAGATGAGATGTACCTGGACGAGAAAGTCCTCCAGATTTTCTTCGAGCGTCTTTTTCTTCATCTGGATTATCGTGAGGGAATAAAGCTCGAACGGCTGGTGAGACATGAGGTGCTAGTTGTGGTCCTGGAATTGGAGTTCTTGAGTTGGATAGACGAGAAGCACTACCGGATCTTCGAACTGATTAGAATAGAATGGATTTGAATTGATCCGGATAGGAGACGTTCGATTCGAAAGAAATGGATTTCGGAAAGGTGTAATCGATTCGATTTGAATGAAGATATAAAAAACGTCAAATGAGGTTTGTATCGAGATGAGTCAGTAAGATGGAAAAAAGGGTCTGGAATGAAGTTATGAGTGGATTACCTTTTGAAACTGGATCTCTAACAGGTTCAGATAAATGTTTACTTTGTCTAGAAATCCCATTAACTAAAAACCCAAAAGAAGTCAAGCAAATCGAAGATGAATCTCCAACCAAATCCAAAAATCGATCGCAAAAGAAAAAGAACACAAACTTTGATTATAAACACTACCACGCATCTTAGCTTTATCATAATAAGCAGGCCATTCATCTTTCAATAAGATTTGAGATTTTCTTAAATCCTTGAAATACGCTTTACATAAGTTTTCATGTTGTTGTGCATCTAACCAAAAATCTAATGAATCTTCTGCTCTTTCTCTTTGTAAGTATAAATAAAAACAATAACTGTTGAAAGTTGAATGTGAGTGTTTGATGATTCGATTTCAATTGGGTGGATATGGTTTGTTCGATTCGATTGGGTTTGGTTTTGAATAAAGATCGTTTGATTAGTTTTGAGTGATGAATGTCATTTTTTGAGAGAATGAAGAGTAGAAAAGAAACTTAACAGATCAACAGGTGGTCTAGTTTGTCTTGCTAGAACTTCTTGAAGAGTAGGTAATCTGTTTCTAGTCATTTTCTTTTGATTTGATGATTTAGTATTTGAATTAAGTTGAGAAGTGATGGTTTGTGGTCTTGGATTTGAAGTTGACATGATTGGATTGGATTGACTGATTTATGAAAATTGATTACTATGCTGTATTGTGTACCCTATCGGTTGGTTTTGGGTACATAGATCTTATCTTGATTGATTTGAATGCAGTAAGATGGTTTGTTAGAGAACTTGTAGTAATGACAGCTTTGAGAATAATGATAAATATAAAAGTGATTTTATTTTAAAGAAAAGTGTTGCGGATGAGGTTCGATTTAATTTTCTTTTTCTGTTCTTTCACTTTCTCAACTTCATTTTCTCATTTTCCTTGAAACCTTTTTCTCAATTCAATTCAAATTCAAAATTTAAATTAGAAATCTCAATTCGATATGAAACTCAATTCAAATTAAACTCAACCACTTCAAACACTTTCAAAACATCACTAAGTCATACATACCCTAAGGCTCTAAAAACAACTAAGTCTACAATCAAGAATTATCATTGTAAGAAAGGAGAAGTATATAGGACTTAGCATATCAGTCATTTATGCAATCAAGGTCAGTCCTTCTTTCTTTCTATGTAGATCCCCCAGAATACTTACTGACTATGTCTTGAGTTGTTTGGGACAACAGTGCTTGGTTTTGTTTGCTCCATAATGTGTAGACTACCAAATTAGGAAACAAATATGCTTCCATCAGAGTTTCAGCAAATTTGATTGACAAGAAATGGACCTACATATCAAACAGTCCATATGACAGTATCCTTCTAGCACAGTCTGTTGCCCATTTTCCCATCAATCATGATCTCCACCATAATATAACTGGTTGCATATTTTCCATCAATTGTTATCCTTCTATTTCTGTTCTACACATTTACTGACTTAACTTGGTTCTTATCACCTTTTCCACTCTTCCTAGTTAGTTCAAAACACCAAATCTAGCTCAAACAATAACACAATGGCAATGGAGCTTGCAGAAGGTCTAGCTAATGCAGAGGAATCAGTTGTTTGGGACACTGAACACATTCATGTATGTTATTATACTCATAAGTTAAGGCTTGTTGTTACAGAAGGCTTCAAGTAGCTTGGTATCAAGACATCAAAATCAAAGCCTTCAAATCCCACCAACTTCACAATCCCCATTCCAATCATTCAAGTCGCATCAGTTGATATCAACAACAAAAATAATTTACTGTTCAGATGAAGACAACTACAATCTTAATCCTCAAAAGTATCAGCACAGTATTAGGACCTTGTGAGAGTGTGACCAGGAGATACTAGATGACAGTCCTATGGTGATTATAAGATTGCAACGTGAGGATTGAAAGATCCCTCACACAGTCACAGTATAGACTCGAGTGAATCTCAGTACAAGCATATTCTACTAAGGGCTCATAACACACAGAATAAATTCAGACAAAGAGTATGAAGGTGATATGGATGGGGATGTGTACCACTGTATTCCCTATCATACTTGGCTGCCAGAAGTTAGGTGGTACAATCTTTGTCTTTACATTGTTTCCCTTTATATTGATATGTGTGTATGTCTATTTCTTTTTTCTTTGCTTCTCACTTCACATCTGTTATCAGGCCAAGAAATTCAATGGCTTGTTATGCCAGAGCAGGGGAAGTCCAGGCGAGTTCAAAGCAAAGTGGTCTCAACTTGGCTATCACAGACCTTAGCCCTTTTCTTGCTGGGGTTTGCAATGGAACATCAATTTGGATGTATCTAACTGCCTGTGCTCAGCCTCAGCCTGCAATGTGAGTTTTCCTACCTTTTCTAAACTTTCTTTCTTATATTTCTGAATTGACTTTGATCAATCTTGAGAGGTCAATGTAGTTTTGACATCTAATTATCAGACACAATACTACCATCACATACCAATCTTGATTGAAGAATGGGATGCCCTCAAGTTTTTTGAACAAGGTTTTGGAGGTAACTTGGTCTGTGCTTTTTCATGATCACAGTCATTTGGGCTTTGGGTACTCTACTGATTTGACTTTGTGAGGTAGTTCCTACTATTCAGACACAAACCTGAGATAAACCTGACACAAGACTGACACAGAATCCCTAAGCAGAGGTCCTCTAACAGTGGGGACCCTGCCCGTGGGCACTGTGTGTATTCTCTGGATTGTAGTCAGTTGAAAATTTTGAGAACTTTTGACACCAAGTTTTTTAAATGTGTATATGGAGTTCATGAGGCTATAGACAGTACTCTGATAATTTTGTACTTTGGAATCAGTTAAAATGATATAAGATCCCACTATTTTCCGCCCGTTCGGCAAATACCCGGCGCCCCCTTGTTTTGGGGCATTACCCGAAGTACCCGACACAACCCGAGTGCACACAGCCAAAATTTTAGTGAGTCGGACCTCAGGGGCTCTTTAGGGGCTCCTTACGTAATCACAGTCTCACGTCTGAGCCCCTGATTGACCTTCTTTCGCCCTATTTCAACCAATAGGGCGATAAACTCTACACCAGCCTCTCCAAAAGAGTCAAAAGGGCTCTTCATTAAAGGGGAGCCTGGACCGGCCTGTGTACATGTTGGACATCCTTATTGTAGACGGGCAAATAGATGGAACGGGAACTAGCAGACTAGTGTTAGTGATTGAACTATCGAAACAACGCAGATTGTGACAATTGCAAAAGTAGAGAGAGAGAAATATAAATCTACCTAGCAGACTAGTGTTAGTGATTGAACTATCGAAACAACACAGATTGTGACAATAGGAAAGTAACACAAGAAGTAGGAAGAAAACAACACTATATATATGAAACATGTTTCATCGTGGTGTTACATAGATGACAAAAGAGGAAAATGTGAAACCAGTCTAGATCCCAACTTCCAATATCTTCCACCGGTCTAAACCAAAAACAGGTGAGCTAAGGCTGGATGCCTAGCCATCTCTGATGCCTTGCCATCCATAGCCGTAACACCCCCCCCTCAACCTTTTAGAGGTTTACCATACTAAGACATGCAGATGTTCTTCTTATGAATTTGAAAGATTATATTACCAAGTGATTTTGTTAAAATATCAGCTTTTTGATTTGGTCCATCCACCCATTCAATTTTCAAATTACCGTCATAAATTTGTTCGTTTACATAATGAAATTCTCGAGCTACGTGATGAGAGTGTTTTGTGAGATGTAGATCTTGTGCGATTTTAATTGCTGTTGTGTTGTCGCATTGTAGAGTAGTGATGAAACTCAATTGAAATATATCTTGAAGAAGATTTTGCACCCAAATCGATTCCCTCGCTGCAACCCCAAGAGCCATATACTCCGCATGACATGTGGAAGTGGCCACACAACTTTGCCTTCTTGACGCCCATGAGATAACATTACCAAACAAATACACCGCAAAACCGTGCGTTGATCTGGAGAATTCACCCCCCAGTTCGCATCACAGTAAGTTACCAAGTCATTACCATCTACCATTTTCTTAAATCTAATACCATCATTTTTCGTACCACTAAGATACCTCAACAGGTGTTTCAAAGCCAACCAATGTTCATCATTGGGTCTTGAGGAGAACCGAGCCAGGTAATTGACCGCATAGGCCATGTCGGGTCGTGTTCCGATTGCCAAATAGGAAAGTGATCCGAGAATAGAGAGATAGGAGGATGCGTTGACACCTACTGCATTCTTATCAGAAGTGTCGAGATGGAGGTTAGCAATCATAGGTGTTGCTGTTCGAGAAGTTGCGAACCCCGTGGATTCGAGTATACTTGCTGTGAGTGTCGGTTGTGAGAGAAAGATTTCACCCGGAGCTTGACTTATCTTGATTCCTACGATTTGGTCAAGGTTGTCGTTCCAGGTCAGTTGGAAGCTTTTAAGAAAAGATTCTCGAATGAAAGAAATAATGTCCATTGATGATCCACAAATGACTCCATCGTCGACGTGAATCCATAACATCGCAGTGTCGTTCTTGTAATGAAGGACATATAGGCTTTGATCATTGACGCAATATTTGCATCCCATGCCTGATAGAACACTTGAGAAGTGTTTCCACCAGCAACGAGCCGCTTGTTTGGTTCCATACAAGGCTCGTTTAAGGAGAAGGACCAAAGCAGGATGAGAAAGCGATATTCCTTCAGCCGGTCAAACATAGATCGTTTCGTCGATTGGGCTGTGAGGATAAGCAGCAACAACATCGAAGCCTCTGATAAACCAACCTTTATTAACTTGAACAGAAAAGATGATCATCAATGACGTGAAACGAGCTGTCGGCGCGAAGGTTTCCGAGAAGTCGATTCCTTCACGCTGCGTGAAACCTCTAACAACAAATCTTGATTTTCTTTTAATAACATTTCCATTAACATCAACCTTCTCAGCAAATACCCACTTAGATGACACAGTCTTTTCTCCTTCCGGCAACACAACTTCTTCCCAAACACCCAATTTAACCAACATATCAATTTCTTTCTTGCACGCCTCTTTCCATTCAGCACTATGTTCTCCATTCATGGCATCCTGATAGCTTCGTGGGAGACGCTGAGCAATACCTGCCGCCTTCGCCTGAAGTAGTTGGATGGCTTCATCTTGTTCCCTGATCGTTTCGGTAAAGAACTTGTCGTCCAACAGATACAAAATCGACAAGGATTCAAAGAGATTACGAAGTTCTTCATGATCACGTATTGGTTCATTTGTAGTGAGGATATGGTGAAGAGAGTGTGGTTCGGAAGGCTGTTCGATGTTTTGATGAATGTCTTGAATTGTAGAATTAGATTTTTTGTTAAGCCATCTGGCATGACCAGAATCGATAAAATCATTAGTAAGAGGATTCCAAAAGCGCCATCCTTTACTTCCTTCAAGGTACCCAACAAACCGACACTTGATAGCTCTATTGTCCAACTTTCTTCTTTTCTCAGCAGGGACATGAACGAACGCGTAAGACCCGAAAATCCTAAGATGATCAACTTGAGGAGCAAAACCAAACATAAGTTCGGTGGGAGTCTTCGAACCAGTGTTGGAGTTCGGAGTTTTGTTGTGAAGATCAGTGGCCGTTGTGATAGCAAAACCCCAAAAACGCTGAGGTAAACCTGAATCTCGTAACAAAACTCTCATTCCACCCTGCACCGTTCTGTTTGCTCTTTCGATCGATCCGTTCTGTTCATGAAAATAAGGTAAAGATGTCTGAATTTTGATACCACGCTCTGCAAAGTACGCTTTCAAAGCATTGTTAACAAACTCCCCACCTCCATCAGTTCTCCAATGTATGACCTTGTTGCCTGTCCTTCTTTCTGCTTCAGCGATATACGTTTGAATGTGTTTGGTAGCCTCGTGTTTAGCTTTGAGGAGATAAGTTCGCATGAAAGTTGAATAGACGTCCCTTATCTCGAGTGAATATTCAGCGCCTGAAACAGTTTTCACAGGGAAGGGTCCACACAGATCAGCAACTACGAGTTGGAGGGGAGAATCATAAGAAATGAGAGATGGTCCGATTGTGGATGTCTTTGTGGATTTTGAAATCGCGCAATCTTCACAAGGTACTGTTTTGGTTAGCTTTTCAGGAAGTCCTACACAAGAACCGTCTCGAACAAGCTTCAAAAGAGTGCGGTCATTAGGGTGACCCAGGCGTCGGTGCCATAACATAAAATCACCTAATACAACTGCCGTAGTAATATCAGGATTGACTGCCCTGAGGATCCATTTCCTGCCAGAGCGATGAGCCGTGATGACTCTTGAATTGTTTCTCCACAACTCAATTCCAACCTTTGAATTCTTGAAAGTAATACCGTCTTCTTCTAGTTGAACTCCAGAAAGCAAGCTATGTCTCAAAGTCTCACATAAGTACACGTTCTTGATTTCTAAAATTTCCGAAGAATTCATTACATTGCATATACGGACAGAACCAACACCAGTGATAAAAGAAGAAACGGAATTGTTTGCCATCTTAACTGGAAGAGGATTAATGTTTTGTAATGAAGTAAAATAAGACCGGTTATTGAATACGTGGTGTGTTGCACCCGTGTCAAATATAATGGTTGAAGGTGAAATGTCAGTATCCATTTGTGAGATATGGATGTGATTGGCATTGACCCACCCGGTAAAATCGACGTCAGCGAATTGTGGTTCAACAATCCTGGCGTCCGATGTCGAAGCCGATGCTGGTGATCGCTCCTTAGCCTTCTTGGCCCTACAATCCTCCTCCTTGTGACCTTTCTTCTTACAGTAAAAACACTTGATCTTAGGTTTCTCATACTTCTTCACCACAGCAGCCAATCCTTCAGTAATACCACTAGCACCTCTCCTATGAGCGATATCCGCAGCACCTAGAGCCCAGGTCATGTTGGACGATCCGACTGAAGCCTGAGGATTGGCTCGAATAATCGGTTCGAATGTGTGAGTGACATCCGGAAATCCAGTAGGCATACTGTTGGCTAAGATTGCTGCAAAGTCATCGTCATTTGTCATCATACCCGACCTTTCCAACTTTCTTCTAATACCTGATATTCTTGCTATATGATTATTGATGGTGTCAGATGAAGGGTCGTACTTTCTGGTGTGTAAGTCGTTGTGAAGTGATATCCTGCTTGCATACGTTTGGCCGGAAAACTGAGCCTTCAAATAACCGTATCTTTCAGAGGGAATAGAAGACACTTGATTTAATCGAAGACTTAGTTGTTTATCAATGGTCCAATGCATAAGGGACACAACTCCTTCGGCGTAGTCGTTATTCCAGCCGAATTGGGTAGGTAAGACACCAGGACGGAGGTACGTAGAACAACCAGCAAAGTGTTGTAGCAGTCGATGGAAATCGGCATCCCAGATGTCGAAGTTGGATCCATCAGCAGCTAAAGTGGCAAGTCTGTCGAGTTTGATGGGGCAAGCTTTCCATAAAGCAGCGAATGAGGTATCGCTAGGATCGATGGGTTTTGTTTGAAATATGTTCGTAACATGAGATACGTGTTGCGATTGGACGTTCTGTTGATTATTTTGAACGTTCAAAGTCTGATCTAAACTGGCGTTTGGAGGAATTTGATTGATTTGATTGTTGTTGTTTAAATGACCAACTCCAGCGGAAGCTGGAGCCTCGATACCTTGCATGTTGCCTGGTACAATTTGGTCAGTCATTCCGGATTCGTCTAAATCTTCAATAGTAGAAGTGAAACGAGGATGAGTAGTTGATCCGGTGTTTGCGGTTTTGAAAGAGTTGTCTTCTATGCCTTCTGGTAACGTAAAGCTCATAACCTGTAGACGGGCAAATAGATGGAACGGGAACTAGCAGACTAGTGTTAGTGATTGAACTATCGAAACAACGCAGATTGTGACAATCGCAAAAGTAGAGAGAGAGAAATATAAATCTACCTAGCAGACTAGTGTTAGTGATTGAACTATTGAAACAACGCAGATTGTGACAATAGGAAAGTAACACAAGAAGTAGGAAGAAAACAACACTATATATATGAAACATGTTTCATCGTGGCGTTACATAGATGACGAAAGAGGAAAATGTGAAACCAGTCTAGATCCCAACTTCCAATATCTTCCACCGGTCTAAACCAAAAACAGGTGAGCTAAGGCTGGATGCCTAGCCATCTCTGATGCCTTGCCATCCATAGCCATAACACTTATAACTCCCCACTTGCCTCCCCCTTTTCCCCCCTGTCTCCTTTCATACTTATCCTGAACTAATGCAATTTGATTCCAAACAACGTCATGAAAAACGGTGATTCTATCCTTATCAAATGCTCTTCATACTCTAGGTGGAATCAAGTGGGAAAATGTAGCCCAAACCCTTTACGGATGTGTCTCTACCACACCATCAGGAGCTCTCGACCCAATTGAAAGGAATCGCAGTAGTTTCAGCTATCATGTCATCTGACCAACCTCAAATAGAAGCTCGACGACTTCGGCAAACGCTCGATAAGCATAACATAGCACTTGAATCTTTTTCAAGTCGTAAATCAAAATCTTCAATTCTTTCATCACAAGGATCAGAATCATACTCTGAATATTTATCATCAGTGATCTCATTCAAATGTTCACATCATTGTCGTCAACTTATTCATCATATCACCAATACAGTCGTTCAAAACAATTGCGCAAATCTCACATTATCATTGAGAAATCTTACATTAGCATTAAGATGTTCTCCAATGATGTCATCAAGTATAGAAGAAGTGGAAGAATCAGTTCAAGCCATGTCATTCCTTCAACCTCTTATTGTTGTGTCTTGTTTCTTTTCTCATTTCAATCAATTCATGACATTCCTTTGACCTCTTTGTGGTGTCTTTAAACCCCTTTTTTCTCTCGTGTCAATTCATTCCTTTTGATTTCTTGTTGTCAATTAATTGGTTGTCTAAACCTTTGTATGCACCTGTTGTCGTAGCTTTTGTATCGATGATCATGATGGATCGTTTTGTTTGTTTGTTGGCATTATGCCACCTATGCTATGTTATGCCATACCAACCATTGTTGCTGTCTGTGCATCAGGCTTGTGCTCCAGCAGTTGCCTGCCTCTGCTGCAGACTGAGTAACAAAAGCAAAAAAAAATGTAAGAAAACAGAGCCCCCAAGGGAGCCCTTTTTCTCGCAAGGGGCTCTACACCACAGAGGTGTCTTGACCGGCTACAGACGGGCATGGCAGGCCAGCCGCAGACCGCCAGCCCTTGCATAGGGGCAGGCCGTCTTGCAATAGCCCTCACGCGCGACGCCTCCCAGGCGCCTACTGGCTTCGCCTGCAGGCCGGCTGGTTTGGGCCTGCAGGGCGTCTGTAATTCGCCTTCCGACGGTCAGCAGGCACCATGGCCCGACGCTTCGCCGGATTTTCAGATTGGTCATTTGCCGGTATTTGGACATTGTGATACGGATAGCTCCAGCTCAGCTCAGCTCACAGCTCAGCTCAGCTCAGCTCACAGCTCAGCTCACAGCTCAGCTCAGCTCAGCTCAGCGGCTCGCGGGTACAGCCAGAAAATTCATGAAATCCAATGGATTTCACAGTGACAATCTATAGACAAGTTGGAGGGAGGAACTCCGCACTGTGAAAACCACTTTCAAGAAAACAGAAACCTTGAGGAAAAAAAACACTAGCGCAACATTGATTTTGTACTTTTATCGATTGAACAAACTTAAATATGAATAAGCAAAGAGATTTGTTAATTTTGATTTGCTGCTGGATTATGGACCGAGTTCGTATTAGATCCAGAAGGAGTCGGATTACCCCCGCCCTCAGACATGCGCGCCATGATCGCCTCGTCCGATGGCAAGTCCAAAGTGACTTTTGGCTCGCGTGCTTGCAGGTCCTTGAACCAAACTTTCCCATCAAAGTACTTGCGGTCCTCGTCATAGATTATTTGATAAAAGCTGTCTTAGAAACGATGTCAGCATTCATTGAAAAAAGATAAGTACATATACGATTGCTCACGCAGTCGTATAGTCATCATTCCCCTTTGATCGTAGCTCGGAAAGCTTCCGATCCACTACAGCCCAAATGGATTCGGAACCTCTACCCCCTTTGAGCACCAACCGCGCAGCTTCTCGACGCTGAGCAGAAAAAAAAAGGTATGAGCGAGTAGTTATACAAAAATCATTGTTTCCTTTGACCCACGAGATAGGCGATTCGTGCCCGTGTTGGCCGATCGGTCGCTGCCCACACTACTTCCACGCCAACCTTCTCCCCGGCAACTCCACACCTCACAGCCACCTATATTTTAAATATACACAATTAAACAGATGATGTATATTCAGTTAATTGTAAAAACTTACACGTTGGACCATTCCTTTGATATGGGGAACTGCAATGTCCACCCGCTCTTTGGTTTTAGAGTCATGGATGCCTACCAAGAGCTGCTCTTGTTGTGAGTTTCACTGATCCCCAACACGAGAGATGAGATAGCGGAAGACTACCCACCACATTGTGCAATTTTTCCCTCGCCTGTTTTCCAGCCTTTTTGAGGGCGCTGGCATAGCACTGTGTGTCGGGGGCTTCTTCCACACCACAGATTTGGCGAGGAAGGTGTTCGGCCGCAAATACCGCGCCCTCTTTCGCGACTGTTTTCTATAGTATACCAAACATCAGAGAGAGCGAGTCAAATACTTATAAAACACCACTGTAAACAATGGGTACCTTACCTTGATAGTATTAAATAACGAGTCTGGAAGATACCCTTCCAACGCGTTTTCGAGAGCGGTATATGACTGAATTGTTGGTGAGAAAAGGAGTTTGAGGGCCAAGGGGTTGATCAACCCCTTGGAAGTGAAATACATATCGATCTCAGCATCTCTTTTTGTACATTTGCTATGTACAAAAGAAACAAGCCTTACAAGAAGTTTGGGGCTAGCCCGCCACTGTGGGGCGCTGTTAGAATCCGCCAACGCGGATGCTGGGGCTGGTCCTATGTTTGAGGAGCGTAGCCGTATCCCTCTTTTTGTGAGAGTAGAGAGCCGGTGAGAGGTTTTGTGAGAGTTCGTTTGTATTTTTATTTTTTGTGTACAGTCGTTGTTCAGTCACGACCTGTACTTGGCTGGGAGTGGCTGGTGGCTAAAGAAGATTCGAGAAAAGAGATACAGAGCAATACTTGTGCGGTTTGTACAAGCCAGTATCTGTAAAATGAGAAATTTGGACTTGGATAAGCTTAGTAGCTCAGCTTATCTTTCAAATCCCGTCACTTTCCAAAGTTTTATCACGAGATGTGGGAGTTGAAAAAATACCCAATCCTACGACCAATACTTCCTCAGCCAACCCCCGGAATTCAGACTGGATTTGGATGTCCAATCTGCCCGCGCAATGAGAAACACCCATTGGAATACGTTAATGTTCACCGCGCAAATAATAATGAACTGATTGGCTTAAGAGTGCGTAAAGTTTCATCTATTGCAAATAGTTCTTTCAGGTGTATTGATTGAGCCTTTGATGATTGATGATTGTGGTAATATAGTGCTCGACATTCAAAAATGCTTCACATTTCTTTCAGACACCTTATAAAAAGCACATCCTGGCCCAAGTTCAACTTCATAACGAAAAAGCCAAGAACCCAGCCTCTCTTTCCAACTTGCTAAACTCGAAAGCCGACTCGCAATTGAACACAGACGAAGAATCTAGTTTGGGTAAATGCAAAGGGGTCAATGGTCTTTATGCATCTGGGCATCGTGAGACTTGCCTGAAGCGATGTCCAAATAAGCTATGTCAACAAGTAAGTAGGTTATTATACATCCTATTTTCTCAAAACTTAACTGACAATGATGTATATGAAGTGCTGCCGTCATAGAGCAGTACAGGTTTGTCCACATCATCAAAATCGCGGTTCTGAAGCTCTCAAACCACCCACCCCATCGAACCCAACTTCATCATCAGTGTTCCAAAGCACTGCATCCGATAGGCTTTTGGCACCATTGCCAACACGCCGGGCAGTAAACCGTCCCACTCAGTGTGCTCAAGCTGATAGAGTGATTCTCAAAGATCTATCTCAGGATGCTCTTGTCCACTATAACATTGAAAGACGTCGTACTCAGAATGAAAAAGATGGGATATGTACAAAGAACTTGAAGCTCCGAGTTTGGCTGAAGGTGTGTTTGGGACTTTTTGAAATCAATTTGCTGAAGTTGAACTCTTGCAACTTTTCTGATAGGCAGGTGAAGGGTTTGTGATTGGGGCTCAGGCCACCGACTTCCCTCGATTTGCTCTGATTGAAAGCAAACCCTTACGCGACTCAGCACTCAACGAGCTTAAAGACCGATGGGATACTCAATTGGAAATACTTCAGGAAGACTCTATGGAATGGGTGTGTTGACTTTGAAACACGATCCTCGATCTCTTACCTTACTGATCCTGTTCGGCTCTTAGATTTTGAGTGATGCGAGTTTAAGCTACACATACAGACGTTCAACAACCGATTTATTAGTTAAAGTATCTGGATTACGAGAGATTGATTGTATTGGACTTGAAAAAGAACTTCAAAAGATCAAAGAAGCACACTCATCAAAACCGCCCATCCGCACTCAAGCTTCCTCACTCGATCTCAGCTCTTATCTTTCAATGGATGGGCCAATGGGTGTATGGGGTCACGAAAAAATGACAACTGGCACTTCAAGTGACGAGTCGGACAGTTCAGAAATTGAGGTGGTGTCATCAAACGTTCACCGTAAACGAAAGCTTACCAATCAGACTGAAACAGCGTCTTCTCAAAAGAAGCCTTGTCTCAATACTCGAACTTGGCCTGGCAAGACATGCAAGCTATCCGAGCTCATTCTTTGGTGTGATAAGGCACCAAAAGGCTGTTCTTCAAAAGTTCCAAAGAGCACCTGGTTCGAAATATTCGGTGACCGATTCGATCCTGATAAAGAATTTAAAACCCCTTATCGATATCGAACTTGGGTTTTAAAGAAGAAATCCGACCTTGTTGAGTGGATGACAGATAGGCCAAATGCTACAATTGATGAAGCTAAGAACAAGTTCATAAAATCCTTTCGCGAAGTCGCATCTCTCCGCAAAGGTACTTGTGCCAACCCGGTTGTTGTAGAATGAGATTCCCGTCTTGATGTGGGCCTCTTCTTTTAGAAAAAGTACAGTTCCTTATTAGCAATACTTCAATTTGTTTCTTGTCAACTAGAATATCATTGCATAGATATGAACACAAATCATTATACCGTCTTGCTATCATTGAAATATCAGAGTTTCCATGACTAAAAGGCTCTCGAGATTGAGACTTCAAGCTGAAGATCACTAAGTCAATAGTTAGATCCTTGTGCCACCTACACCATAGTCCTAGATCAATTGCTCTTATGATTGAGATCATTCAAAAACAGGTTGATCGACACATTCTCACATATAAGTCAATTATAATTGATCATTGTTTACTTCAAATCTCAGGAGTTTCTTAATTTGTTTTGAGTTCAACAAAATCACGTGTTTGTTGTCACAATCAAACAGCCTAGAACAACTAAAACATCCACCCCTTTGTTATAAAACTTACATCAGCTCGTGCTTTTAGCTTTTTCTCCAACCATCCATTTCGTAATCTGACCATCTCCTCCAAAAAAAAGTTATATCAAATAGCATTCATTCCCCTGCAAATGGATGCAAAAGCACCGTACCAAATGTTTGTCAGTTCGGCAGCAGATGAATTGAACATCCACTTGCCACCTTTTTTTAGGTCTGGTATCTTGTTTGGATCGGTAAACTCTTGGCAGAATTGATCGGACTCTTTATGTGAGCACATGTGGAAAACATCAACTGGAATGACAACATCTTTGAATGCTTCTGCATCCTTGGGATTACTCCAAATGTGATGGACCAAATTGCATGCATTATCGTAGAAAATGAGGTTGGGGAGCCGTTCCGGGAAAGAGTCCAGTATTAATTGCTGTGATATATATTGATGTCAGCTAGAATCACATCAATTTCTAAGTGTATCACTGACCTTCACAGCACTGGGAGCTTCTGCTCGAAAGAAAGTAGACCGTGCCAAGATGATACCGCAGGTACTCACAATCAGCTGATCATTGTGAGTTCGACAGCGTGACATACAGGGTTTGCGGCCCTTATTATGATTGGTCTGATTTCCAATGTCTTCAGGATTGTTGTCAATATCTTGTCCTCCATATCTTCCAGCTTCATGTGCTCGATCAAATTCATCAACATCAACGAGTGTTGATTCATCTAACTCTGCTGTCCAACAATTCTGATGGACCAATGGGTCTGTTGGTAGTTTGGCTCCAGGGCGCGATAGCTTTGATGCCATGGTAAAATTTTGACGCTTGCGGTGGTGAAACTGATTTGAGATAGCAATATGTTCAGAATCATTGCAGGTGTCATAGTCAGGTCGACGTGGCCTTATACAAGGCTGAACTACACATTGATCCTTCAAGATACGTTGATGGGTTTCACATAATCTATCATGAATGCTTGTCAATGGATTGAGACAAGGGCCATCGGGCATTGGAGAGTTTGCTAATTCGGCTATTTTCTTTAATTGATCACTTGAAGCACTACAGCACCAATGTCCAATAGTGACCCCATCAGTAACACAAGCACGGATTGCTATATTAACACAAAAGACAAGGTTTTAACATGTCAGAAAAACAATCAAGATAAAGAGCAGGATAATATTGGTACCTTTATTTTCATCGGAGACATATAGACATTTGTCACACGCGTGGTCTCTATACTCAGTACCAGATTTGGACCAATATTCAAGTTGTTCTTTCATTGCTTTTAAATATCTTGAAGAGTCGAGGCCAGTGTTTGGGACAGTAAGGACAGCACCTCGGAGATCAAAGTGATACAATAGGCGGTGAATATCCAGTGCATCACTGCAGACTTTGTGTGACATCAACGCTCCAAAGGATTGTTCTTCTTTGAATTTGATTGATTCATCACTTGGATTCTGCTTGTTATACAAGTTAACAAGGTTGAATATTGAGACACTAGGCATGAATTAGACAAGAGTGAGTTTTTCCTCATAGATAATAGATAGATACCAAAGAAAAACCATCAAATGCTTACTGGGCCAACATCTGCATAAAGGAGAAATACTCAGCGAGTTCCCTAGTCATAAAGTAGTGTTGATGCACTTGAAAAATCTCTGGATCTTGTCCTTGTGCTTTGGTGTAAAAATATTGAGTACCCTTGCGTGAATAGTATGAAGGACGAAATGCAGTAGAACAGCCTATGAAGTAAGTATCCTCATGAGTGCTTTGAATTTCTCATACGCAAGACAAAAATATGAATCACCTTCACAATACAGACATACAATTCTTATGGTTTGTATTCCATCAAGACAATAAAGATAGCCGTTGATAATGTTGTTTTCCTTGACAGGAATATGTTTAAGATGATTTGGATCACAGAACGGGCAATGCTTGACCGGTGGATAGATAAAACAAGTTGGAATTTGAGGATCAAAAATTAAACCAACCTTCCTCACCACTTCAGGTGGGCTGACTAGACATCTTTCCAGAAAAGGGAATGTATATACCCATAGGTGGGAAAGAGCTGGACGTGGTATTATCTGCTTGAGTGCTTCAAAGAGGTATTCTACGTGGGAATAAGTTTCCAATAAATTTAAACCACGGCCGGCACGTTGAAGTAAATCACCCCCAAGATGACAAAAGCGAACAAGATCTTCTATTTGAAGGTTATTATATATATCAGGGATGGTCTTAAGCTTTCTAACAAAGTCCTTGATGAACATGGTTGTGCCTAGGCAAGATAAATGTATGGCGTGTGAGATGTCTTCCAAACAATGGCAGACTTTTTATCTTGTGAATATCACTTGCACAGTTGTGTCGAGTTTCATATTTACAAATCCGACATGCTGGATTTCTATCTTACATGTCTCACATCCCATCACTCGGATTTCAGATTATCAGGTTTCAATCCCTGTTGATTAGCATGATGGCTCTCTTATATGTCTCTCCGTATCGCTCACTAATCATTCAAACTATTATTTACACATTCATTTGAGCTCAATCACCAAGATTATTAGTTCAAGGTGCTAAAGCTGAAGTAATAAAGGAGAACGATTTAAGTAAAACAGAAAAAGTGTTCAATTGAATTTTTGAAAGAAGGACGTGGTCAAACTCAGCTGCTTGAAAAGATTTCCTACGCGTACTGAAGTACTGAAAGGAAAACGATTCAAGTAGCATGCAAAAAAAAGTGTTCAATTGAGTTTTTGAAAGAAGGACGTGATCAAACTCAGCTGCTTGAAAAGATTTCCTACGCGTACTGAAGTACTGAAAGGAAAACGATTCAAGTAGCATGCAAAAAAAATGATCATTATATTTTTGAAAGAAGGAGGTGATGGAAGTGAGCTGCTTGAAAAGATTTCCTACGCGTACTGAAGTACTGAAAGGAAAACGATTCAAGTAGCATACAAACGAAAAAAGCGAGTGTCAGATTTTTGACACGTAAGGAATTGATGTGTGACAAGATTACGAATGATTATACTCGGTGGGACAATGAGATGCTGAGCGTTTATATAAAAAATAAAGATGATAAAAATACAATTCCAAATGAAGTGCTTTTGCATGGCCAGGCTAACTGATAAAAAAATTGATTCATTAGTATCGGGCTGAAACAAGGGCCCAGGAGATTAAATGTCCTGTGCTCCGTGAGATCCCTGAGGAAAAGATACTCCTGCCATTTTCCACCATCTGTTTAAGAGCATCCGCACTCGTTTGCGGTTGTTAACTTGGTCATGTGCGGTAACAACCTCTACATTAAGTAAATAATTACTTAACGTGACCAAATTTCACACTCGTGCCAAAATTACCTGCACGGTAGTTAACTAACTTGAGAGGTAATTTGAGTTTCCACACTGATGCAGAGTTTACAGACTCAAAATATACCAAACAAAAAAATCAATCGACTTTTCAGTCAATCAGTGCATTTCAAGCGATCCCTGCCAGGGAAGAAGAGCTTTGGGACAGGGAAGTTCATTTGAGAGTAACTTGAGATCTCATCACCACTGGATGGTTGGCACAGAGAGGTTTGTAGACAAGCAAACAAAAATTCATTGCACCATCAATTAAAAGTTGTCATGTTGAAGACCATTGAGAATTTGAAAAGAAATGCAGATAATGAAGACCCTTTTGCATAGTTCCCCTCTACAGTTGAATGTGATATCTATTTTTCAAATCCTTTTGAAGTCAATCCAAACGACAAGACATGTTCAAAACCTTCTAAAATCAAAACAAACGATCAGAAATTGATCCACTTTGATCTAAAACCCTTTTAAACCCAATTCGATATTGATAAATCTAAAATCTCAATGAACATATATATAATCACATGTAAAGTAGAACAATCTTAATCAATGTTGGATAAAGAGAATCATACAGTAAGAAACCAGACATACCCATTAGTTTGATGAATTAGAAGACAGTCGGGTCTCCATTGATTCTTAAGTCGGGTGTTTTGAGTCGAGAGGAATCAAGAGGAGTTGAGTCGGAGTTGAGTCAAGTTGGCAAGTTGGCAAGTTGGTGTGCTTGAGAAGTGAAGAGGGGGCTGGTAATTTGGCTACCACATGCGTTAGCCAATCGGTAAATTTACCGATTCGCTAACGCAAATCGATCAAAAG